TGACATGAGAAACAATCGAGTCGAGGGTCGGATAGGTTCAAATGCGTCTCCAATGACATAGACCCAAGGTCGAGCACAAATCCAATGATCCAAACCCTTTAATAAATGAGATTGTATATTATGAAACTATTTACTATTATTACAAAGATGTCACAATCTCATAACCATTAGATGTCAAACCAGATCGCTTAGGGTGTATCACAAAGTTCGAAAATTTTATTTTGAACTTTGAATCTAGTAAATGACATACGTAAAACCACTTAATTTAAAATATTATGGACAATAGTTACTATAGCCTCCTTACACTAAGGGATTGTATACAATGAGACTATTTACTTTTAATACCAGGTGGTCACAATTACGTACAACTATCCAATGTGAAGTTTGATAGCTTGGATACATCACAAAGTTTGAAAATTTTTTATTTTGAAGTTTGAGCTTGGTCAATGGAATAAATGCAGCCACTCAATTTCACATCCAACGGTCAAGATTAATGTGACCACCTTGTAAAAAAAGCAAACGGTCTCTTTCTATACTTTTCCGAAAGTAAATAGTCCCTTTGTATACCTTTCTTTCATATACACACACATCGGAGAGACAGCCAAGTCAAGAGCACGACAGGGTGGAGTACGACCAGGACCAAGGGTCAAGTGCAAATCCAATGACTCGTACCCACCCAAACCTTTTAACACTCCTTAGAATACAAAGAATGAAAAGATTGATCCCTTCCTTTTCCGACCTTTTGTATTCTCATTCTCTCGTCAATTTCTCATATAATAGGCCCAGGCCATCATTAATCCTAGCCCGGCCCTCCGCCAACATTTTGGGCCCAAGTTCTACTTTGGCCTGGCCGCCGGGCAATTGCCAGGCCTACAAGAAGACTCATTAAATCAAATTTAACGCGTATTGACCCAAAGCGAAATGAAAAGAAAACCCCTTAATTTTAATGCTTAGAGAGCCCATGCATGTCTCCAGGACACCGTTTTGTTTGTAAAGCTCATTCCTAAATCAATTTCTTCATTTCCACTGAGAGAGAGAGAGAGAGAGAGAGGCACAGTGGGATTGGAGCGAGGGTGGAATTTCACAGGGGGATCAAAGAGAGACGGAGATTCGGTTCAGTGGGATTATAGAGAGAGAGACGTACTTCCTCGTACCTCATAAAAGAAATGCAATGTATAACGGTCGCACGCCGATCCTCTGAGGTCATTAACTGCACAGAGTAAGAGAGAGATAGAGAGAGATTCTCTCTGTAAAGGGTATGCCCTATTCTATCCATCGTGGGCTTTAAATAGAGTTGGGGTGAGAGCCATCTTCTGCAACTGCTTGCAGGCCTTTCCCCCAAATTCAAAAGCAAAAAACGAAAATGTCAACTCCACTTTTTCTTCTTCTCATTCTTTCAACGGTTCAATTTTCTGTCTCCTATGTGCAAATTGAGAAACCCCATCATCGATCTCAGCCATCCAGATCTCTTCTCCGTTCAATCGACGATCAAGATCCACCCGATCTTGCTGTTGATTTGAACAGCTCAGATTTTGATCGCTATCTTGCGGATTCCCCTGCTTCGTGGGCCATTGTTGAGTTCTTTGCACACTGGTTAGTGGTCACGATTGATTTTTTATATTTATATTTGTTTGTCCTTTTCTTTTTTACTTGGCTGGGTTTTTATTGACCTTTGTATCTAATATTGATCTACAATAGGAGCTTATATGCGCAAAATATTGAAATTTGGAGTTTTAGAGGAAGTCTTGGTAATTGAGTAGCTGTCATGTGTAGGGATAACAAATATGAATCCTTGAAATTGGACAGCAATGAGGAAAACTATTGACTTCCTTTTGTTCTTGAGGTACTTTTAGCGACTTTGTAATCATGAAATGGGATCCAGTTCAGAAAATGTTGACTTTTTAAGTTGTAGAGGTAGTTTTGGTAGTTGGGTAGCCTTTGGTTGTAGAGATAATGATAATCTAATCATGAAATTGGATCCCAATTGGAGAAGTCTTTGGATTTTTCAGATATAGAGGTAGTTTTGACAGTTGGATAGTCTTGGTAATTAGCAATAATGATTATGAAACCATGAAATTTGATTCCGGTGAGCTTTTTGCCCTATATTTTTTGGATATCTTAGACTGGGTTTGTGTCAATAATCCTACATTCTCATGATGATATGATGAGATTTTCTAGTTTTGGACGTCAGATGGGTTTCCTGGGGATGTCGCAAAAATGTTTATGGATACTCTACAATTGGATTATCTTCACATATGTGCTTAGAGGAGCATGTGTGCTGTTTAACGGGTTTATGTTGAGAATCTTGCATTATATTTGGAATAATTTTAGTGGTTAGGTTAGCTTAGCATGTAGCGATAATGTTTTTACGTAGTTGTAAATTAATAGAACAGAGCTTCTGAGTATTCATAAATGATGTCACATTTGAGGAGCATGAAATCAAATCACCCTCCAACATGACACATAGGTTCTCCCCTAGATAACTCTATGAGGTCCTTTTTTTTTTTTGTAATTGTTATTCAAGTGCTTTATGTTCTGTTCAAGTTGATGTGTGATAGCCACCTTCTTTGTTTTTTGTGTTCTATTTCTGTGCAAATATGGGAACACAATATTGTAGCCAACACTCTCAAGGCCTTTCTCTTGCTTCCTTTTCAATAATGGACCGAACCCAAAACCTAGATTGAAATTTAGTTACTAGTGACACTCAAATTGGCTTAGCACTGAATGGATTATGCCTTAGGCATCACATATATGTGGTGGAGCCTTTTTTGGCTTTTGAGTGTTGTGTTTTCTTCAAATACTTTACTATCTACTAGTCAAGTATATTACTTCTCTTGTAAGTTTTTATTATTAGTGTTCGTTACTCTGTTTTCATTAGAAAAGAAATCTATAAAAGCTTCTCGATAGGGTATGGTTCTACTGGAGTTATTAATGGCATGTTAACTTGGTGCACAATTCTGCTCATAGTTAGAAAACTATTGGCCACAGTGTTTGCAAAATCGAACTGGAACGGTTAACCGGACTTGGGCTCGGGTGCGGTTTAACCGGCCTAATCGGTAAACCAGCCAATTCAACTGTTCTAACCGGGCAAGTCCCGGGTGGTCAAAAAAGTGTTGAAAAAATAAAACAGATACAAAAAAAAAAAAAAAACTACTAAAATATGAAAACATATTAAAATTAAAACAAAACACATTCAAATGAAGTTGAAAATTAATGAAAAAAATAGATTTCAACGAATCGATTTTTGAATTAAAGTGATTATTAATGACAAAAACAATTTTTAATCTTTACCATAATATAAAGAATATTAAATATGCATTCAAACCAAATTCCTTATTTTTTGGGAATTTATACACTTTTTTTTGAATTTTTTTTTTTAAAACACAAGTCGATCACCAGAACCGCCCAAAATTGGAACCGGGCACTGGCCGGTTCCGATCTAACCGGGTGGTTAGCGGTTAGATCGCCTGGCTTTTCTAACAATGATTGGCCATAAACAATTTTTTCACTCATATGTTCAAACTGTTTTACATGTGGCAAATTTAGTTTTGTTATTCCAAATGACCTATTTAATATTTTCTATTAGTGACTTTAAGATGGAGAGTTGCCTGTGAATTTACTTTTATGTACTGAATTCTATATTGCTTCCACGCCAAATGATAACAATAAAAATTAATTGAGAGATGGCTACTTGTCAAATCCAAGGACTTGCATAGGTTCCCCACACTGCCTGTCATCCATGGATTAAGTTAAGAAGTTTATGGTGTTTTACTTCTGATAAAATAGGCGCTACTACAAAGCAATAACAATCGAATATAATAATGCTTCACGATGAAGCATTGTTTTGAGTTCTTGCTCGAGGTTTATTGTCCAAATATATGCGGTTGACTAGACAATGAGAGGAGCTTGTAGTTTCCATGTCAAATATGAACCAATATAAATATTTTATCTCATGTTACCGTCACATGCATGGTTCATCCGCCTTGTTATATAGGCTTGTAATATATGTCATCCCAGGAACTATATTATCCATGTAGGAAACATTTCTCAATTTATATATGTTCATATTTTAAAAGGCTTTTGGAGGTTGCATTTACATTTCTTGACTGCCCAGGTCAAACTCGAGCATCCAATGATACGACCAGCAGTTTGTTCACCAAGTAGTTTTGTCTTCGTTGACTTAAAGACTTGGTAAAAGGATTTGCAACTTGTTCAAGAGATGGTCATTATAAAACAGATTGAGAATTTTGTGCAAGAATACTTCTCTCCTATGTACACTTTGTTGGATGAGGAAATAAAAAGATATTAATGTAATCCGTATTCACACTAGTGAGTCGAATAAAGAAAAGTGAAACCTATCCCTTGACCATGAAATACAGAAAATGTTAGTTCTCATAAATCTAACTATAAGTTGCGTTCAAACTCATGATAAATGCTTTTTGAATTAGACGAACCAAATTCGCATAGATTTGCGCATTGTGGAGTCTCCACATGCAGCTCAGGACTTTTTCCATAACTTTTATCAAGATCCCAGAATATTCCAAGGAAATATTACATGTATGCGCACACACATCACAACTGTCCATCATGTTTAACAGAAAGTAACAGGTTCCCCAGTTGAGCTCCTTAGCTAAGTTTTCATTTGTTGGGGATGGAGTTGTTTGTGCACACACTGTGTATGTTCGCTTTGTAATATGGTTCCAATCTAATTTTTCAGGAAAACAGGGTTCCACTTTTCATGTGGGCCTTGAAAACTCTTCAAAGATAGGAATAAATTCCACGTGCTGCAGGAAGATTAAGCTGACCCTCGAGATTGGCACAATATGAATCCTTTCTAATGATGTTCTGATCTTGTCTTAGATCTCAAATCTCCTATCTTGAGTAGAAGATTTATTAGAACGTTCTGCAGAGTTGTATGGATCAGGCAGACCCCAAAATACCACACATGCATTCCCTTATACTTATATAACTATTATCTTCACGTGCTCTACATTAATAATAGCATAACAGAATTGATGCTCACTACTATGCTCTTTGCAAAAACTATCAACTTTCTTTTCTGTAGGCCTATATATTATTAGAAGAAATTAACTTCCCTTGTGCTGTCAAGAAGGTTCAACTTCCCTTACTTTATAACCCAAAAAAATTATGATACTTACAGTATTGCGTTAGATGTGACTGTTAGTGGGAAATGCGACACGAGTCTTGGACAAGAAAATTTTCTCATTTTCGGGGAAAGTACTCCTATATGTTCTAATGTCCTGTTGTTGATGGGAGACACCATATAGTGCAAGTTTTGTGCGACCAAAACTCAAGCATGTGACGGAGGCATGTTAGATTTTATATTCACTTTTTATAGGTTCTAGTAGATTGACAATTTTTTATTCATGGAAGCCAATACTTTTAGAACCATGAAAGATTTTCTTCAGATCTCAAATGTTGGCATTTCAACTGAAATTTTAAATATTTACTTTTTGTAGATCGGGATGTATGATGAATGCTACACAGGATTTGATACTAAAAGATACATTTTAGTATCTTTGAATTCAATCACAACTATCTTTGATTGTAATTTACAATTATCAATGTGTTGCTTTTCTTTTGCGCTGTTATAATGCTGGATGTGTATAAATCCCACATTTCTTATATATCTGTTTACTTTTTTTGTCTATTCGAGAGCTAAATGCCTGTCTTATTTCTTGCTTGATTACTCAGGTGTCCTGCTTGCCGCAACTACAAGGTAGTGAATACTACATTATTTTAGTTACACTCTAAAGCATTCACACGCTCTATGATTCAGTTTTCTCACTTTTGCAACTATTCTGCAGCCTCAATATGAGAAAGTTGCAAGGCTTTTCAATGGACCAGATGCAGTGCACCCAGGGCTTATTGTTATGACGAGGGTGGATTGTGCATTGAAGGTATGATGCCTCCGATTTCTTGCTTAACTTCTCTGTGACACTATCTTTTGTGTAGTTTTATGTGGTGGTATTGTGTTTACAGATATTCTATGTGCATTATACTTGTATAATACATTGAATTATTTTATTCAACCATGATTTTTGAGAATGTACTTGTGATAATTTCTGAATAATTTTGAAGCATCAAATTTTGGTTACATGATACAAGAGAGGATTTAGGAGAGAGCAATTGGTTTCAAATGAAAATCTAGGGACTCAAAAGCCTTTTTGTAGAAACCGCTTCTTTTGAGTATCACTTTTATTGTATACTTGTCTCTCGGAACTGATTGGAAATATCAGATGTCTCATAACTGATGGAAAATATTAATAAGCGATGCTTCCATTGTTTTTTGTTTAAGTGCAGTCCTCTAGTTCTACTTCTTATGATGTACTTGATTATCACCATAGCTGTTCTATTCAATATCTGTTACTTTTGGGTTTTACTAAGTATGAAATATAACAATATACAAGGTTGGGATTTCACTTCTGATTAGCAAATTCAAATTGTTTGCAAAATCTATAGTTAGCTGACCTGCACTTTCTTTTTATGGCAGTGCAGATAAATACCAAGTTATGTGATAGATTTTCAGTCAGGCATTATCCCATGTTGCTATGGGGACCTCCATCTAAATTTGCATCTGGAGAATGGCAACCTAAAACTACCAACAGTGAAATACAGGCTATTGATGATGCACGCACTGCTGAACGCTTGCTAAATTGGATCAACAAGAAGATAGGCAGGCAAGATCTCTTTCAATACTGTTGTTTTTTTTTTTTGTTTGTTGGTGGTGGGTGGTGGTGGGGGGGGGGGAGGGTCTTCAGCAATTGTAGGTTGTATATAAATTAATGGAACTGCAGCTGCTATTCTTTCCTGTTTCTGATCGCTTGACTGAACTACAGAGAATTGGGGTAGTATATCAGAAGTCCCAGGTCCTCCTATCCAACAAATTTCACGAAATACTAATAAAGATTTTATATCCTGAAATGTTAAAATTTGTTCATTTCTTCCTTTATTTTGGAGTGATTTTGTTATTTTCTCATCAAAGAGATTTTATGAAATCCATTTAAAAGGATATCAATGACACAAAAGCGTTGATGGAATGATGGGAAGAAGGACATAAAACGTGAATGCCTAAACGTAGATATTTAAAATGAAGAAAAGCCAAAATTGGGGTTTGCCAAAATTCAGGTTCTAGCTTGCAGCAAAACTTCAACAAAAACTCTCGATGATGGAAGGAACTATAGCTGCCTCCACACCCTTTCAGTGTTTCACCTTCCACAACAACTTGATAACATCTAGTTGATCCCTTGAAGTAGACCTTTAAACTCCATCCATTATTTCAGTGAGTTTGATTTTCCCTGCGTGAACTCTGGACGTTGTTGCGTATGCCAAGATGACAAAGGTTGCCCCCTAGAACCCAGACAGTTGTGGTTTCCCATACATTCACTTTTTCTTTACTGATGTGCTATTTATCAATGGGATATAGGATGAAGAAAAAGAAGCAGATCTCGGGCCATGCGGACCCTCCAAAGGGGAGAGTTGAAGGTGCATCTCGAGGTCTAATTAAATTCCCAAGTGATGCACAAGAAGAGTAGGCATTAAGAGGTTGAAAGTCGTCCTCAGAGGAAGAAGGCATGATCTTATAGTACTGATACAAAGGAAAAGTATAGCGTCCACATGATGTGAACTCTTGAATCACAAGCACTCGCATAATGATTCATATTAGAAGGGAAGAAAATGGACGGAGGGAAGAAAATGGACGGATGCAAGTAGATACAATGTTTTATTTTTTATTTTTTCACAAGTCGGATTAACTTGAAATTTTGGGCATCCATAATTCCCACATAAAATTTTTTCTGAATTAAAAAATAGTCTCTATTTTTTCATATTTTACACCAGGTCCCTTTCGGTTTTTTATTTTTGCCCAAAATACCTTTGGTCTGCCACCATGAGACACGTCTAAGTCTGCCTCATCAATCTAGGGCTTACCATGTTTGGCACTACATCATGTATGCCTTAAAAGGATATCCTGTCTGTGAATTAGCTTTGGACAAGCCTCTAATCCGTTCCAAATTATTTATCTCCAATCGATTAAGTCCTAAAGCCAAGAGTTCTTGTGTTTTTTTGAGCATCTGGAAGCCTCTTTCCTTCTTTCCTTGTAGGACATTTATAAACTATCAAGGGGCACCTTATGAAAGAAGTGGGTTCTCATCTTCGAAATGCTTCCAAAGTTCCTTCCAAGTATATTCATACAATTAGGTACTTGAAAGAGTTTTCTTATGTAACCTGGCTTTCTTGATTGTGACATAAGATGCAGATATGCTGCCTAGGTATGCAATTATTTTCAGAATATTAAATATATTCTATACACAAATTCAAAATGATATTGCAGGAGATCAAACTTATGAGCCACACTATGAAGTTGTGGGAGAGAGTGATTGAGCAACGACTAAGGCATGAAACGAGTGTATTAAAAAACCAATTCGATTTTATGCCAGGGAGGTCAACAATTGAGGCTAGTTTCCTACTTAGGCAACTGATTGAGAAGTTTAGGGCGAAGAGGAAAAGACTTCCACATGGTCTTTATTGATCTAGATAAACTTTATGATAGAGTACCTCAAGATTTAATTTGGTGGGTGTTTAAAAAGAAATGAGTCTTCAGATACTATATCGACTTGGTGAGAATTATGTATGAGGGAGCGCTAATCCAGGAAAATGGAGAGATTGCGGAAGATGTCATGCATATAATTAGAGTTGGGTGGGCGAAGCTGAGATGTGCAACCAAAGTTTTATTTGATTGCTGCATACCAATGAAGCTAAAGGGGAAGTTCTATAGGACAATTGTGAGACCAGCTTTGCTTTATGGGGTGAAATATTGGGTGGTCAAGGAACAACATATCCATATAATGAACGCTTAGATGAGGATGTTGAAATGGATGAGTGACATTACAAGAAGGGATAGAATTCAAAATGAATACATTCTAGAGAATTTAGGTCTGGCTCTAATAGACAATAAGTTGAGAGAAAGTAGACTTAGGTGAGTGGCCATGTTCAGAGAGACCCAATACAACACTTATTAAGAGGTATGAGTTGGTTTAAGTGGAAGGTTGAAAAGGGCAAGGGGTAGTCCCAAATGGACATGTTTTGGAAGTAGTGAGAAAAGATATGGGAACTTATAGCGTTACTGTGGATATGGCCTTGATAGAGCAAAATGACGGACTAAAATTCGTATAGCCGATCCCAAATAGTTGGGAAAAGATTCTGCTGATGATGATGATGATCTTGCATATTTTATAATCTTGACCCAGACACACTTCAACATGCATCAAGATCATAGCTACCGGAATCTCTCGAACGACCTCGCGTTTTCGGTTTTGAAACCCGATCCGCGTTTCTGTTAAGGAAACTCCATAGAAACTGTTTTTCGGAACCAAGAAAACTCGATTCCTTAATTTCAGAATTTCGATTCAATACATCTTTAGAAACCATTTTTCGAAACCAAGGAAACTCAATTCCTTAATTTCAGAATCTCAATTCAACACACTTTAGAAACCATTTATCGGAACCAAGGAAACTCAATTTCTTAATTTCAGAATCTCGATCCAACACCTCTTTAGAAACTTGAACTCATTAATTGTGGGTAGATGTTCCCAAATATATCGAATCTAGATTCCAGCGAGGAGTAAATCTTGATTCCACGTCAATTGATTCCATGTCAATTGATACACCAATTCAAAGTACATAATATCCAATGTCTATGATGGTTACGCACTTCCTAAAGGAAATTGGAGTAGAAATCTTCCTTTGAATGCTTTTCGTGGTTGCAAGGTTTCATTATTTTACTTGTGCCACCCTGGACGGCCGTTGCTTTAAATTTAAAATGTAATTGGTAAATACAACACATACAATTAAAAGTAAAGCCGTGGCGTAGACATAATTCTATTTTGTCTTTATAATAATGAAGTCAAAATCATAATTTTGAAATGCTTTTCTTTTGTATATAATGACCGTAAGTTCATTAGTCAACACAATCACTTTAAAATTTGGGAAACCTTCTAATAAAAGACATCCAGTATAGGTTCTAAAGTTGATAAGGCTCAAGATATCCTTGTGGTTTCTTTCTCCATAAAAATGAAATCTCGATTCTTGGTAGGGGTCGTTAAACGCATTCCATAGTCCATATTATTGTAAATCTCGATCTCAAACTGGCATGGATCTCTCATCCATATACTCTGTTCCACATATGTTCGAAACAACAACGAATCTCTGTTCCACATATGTCAGAAACTCGATTCCATAGATTTCGAAAACTCGATTCTGCATATTAATGAATCTTGACTTTTAGAGTATCGATTCCAACGGAATGGGAATCTCGATTCCATATGTTGATGAAACTTGGATCTATTTTGGTGAAACACAATTATCAAAAACTAAGAATCTCATTCCCAATGATTCCTATTGTACGGACAACGATTCCTGAGACAGGAATCTTCTAGCCGGCCAACAATTCCACGATTTCGGTTCCTAAAACGATTCAGGTTCCCAGACGTTTTCAATAACTATAATCAAGATACTCTTCTTCAATCTGTAGCAAGAACAACCTTGCACATAGTATTCATCTGATCAAAGTCGTTATGATATTGAGGTCATTTAATAGCTTTATTTTTACATGTATGGGTTTTGGTATTTATGAGTATTGTACTTATTACGCAGTTTTAGGTTTACATAATATATCTGAATATGTTATTTTGAATTACAGGACCTTCAGTTTGGATGATGAGAAGTTTGAGAATGAAGCACCACAAAATACTTCAGATCCTAGGCAGGTCTGTCATTCTGGGCTCCAGGTTTATAGATTTACTTTCTGCCATCATCTTAATAATTTGCCTTTTAGCATGTCAGTTTCTTGCAATAGATGAGTATGTTATTGTCTGGTTGGTAAATAGATTGCTCGGGCTGTATATGATATCGAAGAAGCTACGGGACATTCTTTTGACATCATCTTGGAACACAAGGTACTTCTCATTCAGATGTTATTCTTATTGTGTTTCTCTGCTCATGTACACGTATAGCTTTACACTGGTTTTGTTGACAGATGATCAATTCGGATACTCGAGCTCCACTCATACAGTTTTTACAACTTTTGGTGACATGTCATCCTTCAAAGAGGTAAAGATGCCAGTTTTTTGCTGTGCTTTGTTGTATCTGTAATACTTAATCGCCCTCCCTCCATCCCTCCCTCTCTCCTTACTTTAGATTTTTGCTATTAGGTGTCGAAGGGGTAGTGCAGATATACTAGTGCACTTTGATGATTTGTGGCCTTTGGAGCTCTTGTCAATCAGTGCCAAAGAGAATGCTTCTCCTCATGAAAGGGATGCTCTAAAGAGCTTCCAGATCTGTGGCAAAGATGTCCCTCGTGGATACTGGGTACTTTCTCACCTTAACTGCTTTATATCTTTCTGTTAAGACTTCTACATGGAAGCCAGCTTTCATTGGGCTGTCTTGTAATTGAAATAGTATACATGTCAGCTCTTGGAACTTGTGTGCATGAGCATATGATAAAGCGTTAAAGATGGATTAGGAACTTATCTATAAGAAAGACTTGAGTTTTGGATTACTAAGGGAAATATGGCCTCAAGATTGGTATATGGACTTTCTCTACCAATCCGGGTAGCAAAAAAGAAAAGAAAATGAAGAATAAGATCCTTAGATCTTCACCTTCAAGAGACTGCTATAATCTGTTTGTTATTTGAAAATGAAGAATAAGATCCTTAGATCTTCACCTTCAAGAGACTGCTATAATCTGTTTGTTATTTGTGAAGTCTCGAGTGATATTTGAAAGTGTTCCTTTTTGAGACCATCAAATGTATTAACTTTCAAGTCAGATGCAGTTGTTCTTCTAGCAACATAATGGGAACTTTTGACGAATATTGTTCATTCCGTGTTTCTGAATTATTGACTGCGGTAAATTCAATACCTTGATTTCTTTTCTATATGCTGTGTGCTTGCAACAAGGCATTTATGAAGAGATTCAATTTCCATGGTTCATCACCTAGCAGACTTGGGGGATGACAATGAGAACCAGATCTGATTAGGAACAAGGCGTGAATCATCATCATCATCATTAAAATCTTTGAGTAATTAATTGGGTCGCTATGCGAATCCTGGTCTGCCATTATACTCTATTTAGTGCCATATCCTCAAAGAGGCCATAAGTCCCCATCTCAGGATTTGTAGTCCATATATTTTGTCTTAGTCCTGCTAATTTTAAAACTTTTCAAAGTTCTAACTTTGTGTTGACGCCATTTCGGGCCTTCATCGATCAAAACTATGTCGTCCGCGAACAACACACTTCACGGTACCTCATCTTGTAGGGGTACCTAGTTAAGTCGTCCATAACTAAGACAAAGAGGTACATTTTAATGCTAACCTTGGATATAGACATATTGTCACTGAAAACTCTCTTGTTTCTCCCTAGTTGTTCGCACAATAGTTAGCATTCCCTCGTACATATCTTTCATCAAGTCGATATAGTGTCTGGAGACTCCTTTCATTTTCAACGTCCACCAAATCAAATCTCGAGGTGCTCTATCATAAGGTTTCTCTATATCAATAAAGATCATGTGGAGGTCTTTTCCTTCTCCCTAAACTTTTCAATCAGTTGTCTAAGTAGGAAAATAGCCTCAGTTGTTGACCTCCCTTGCATAAAAGTGAATTAGTTTTCTAATACGCATGTTTCATGCCGTAGTCGTTGCTCAATCACTCTCTCCCGCAGCTGCATAGTGTGGCTTACAAGGTTGATCCCTCAATGGTTCACACAATTCTGTATTTCTCATTTGTTCGTGCAAATAGATACCACAATACTTTTCCTCCATTCATATGGCATGTTTTTTGTTCTCAACACCTTATTGAATAACTTCGTCAGCCAGTCAATGTCAATCTCCTCATGCACTTCCAAACCTCTATCGAGATACCAACTGGTCCCAAAATCTTTCCTATTTTCTTTGACGTTTGATATCTTAATCCTACGAATGTATTTATGACCTCCGCCCTCATTTATGCCAACGATTCCTTCTAACGCTATATTTCCATTGTATTCGTCATTTAATAATTTTTTGCAACAAATTCTCCACTTTTCATTGACTTTTTCATCCTTCACGAGGACCTTTGATCCTCACTCTTAATGCATTTAATATTTGATCATTTCTATTACATTGCCAAGTTTAATAACATGATCGTTGTTTGCTAATGGCCTTCAAACCTCGTCACTCCACCACCAAGTTTCCTTATCGGAATTTCTTTTTTCTCTAGTTTCTCTTAAAACTTCTTTTGCCAATTTCTTAATACAGTCAGCCATCTCATTTCACATAACATTGAACTCATGTTCAGAGTTCCATTTTCCTTTTTTAACTAATTTATCCCTAAATAAGTCTATTTTCTCATTTTTTTAATTCTACCACGTAGTTCTTAGACACCTATTAATTTCACCCCTTCTCTTCCATGTCTTTATGCATACATCCATAACCAAGAGCCTATGTTGAGTAGTCAAAGTCACTCCTGGGATAACTATATAGTCTTTACATGATGACCGATCTAGCTTCTTAACTAGGAAGAAGTCTATATGGCTTCTATGTGATCCACTTTTATAGGTTATTAAATGTTCATCTCGCTTTTTAAAGTAAGTGTTTGCTATTCCTAGGTTGTAGGCTATAGAAAAATCTAAAATAGCCTCACCCATCTCATTTCTTTCACCAAACCCACATCCCCCATGTACACCTTTATATCTTCTACTATCCTTACCTACATGTCCATTTAAATCCCCTCCTAAAAAGGTCCTTTCTCCATTTGATATGTCTTGGACTAGTCTATCTATGTCTTCCCAAAATTATCTCTTAATTCTATCCTCTAGTCCTACTTGTGGTGCATAAGCACTAATTACGTTAATTATCCTATTCTCCTATTCTCCTAATACAAATTTAATTCGTAGGAGCCTATTACCTACTCTCTTGACATTAACTATTTTATCTTTTAATTTTTTGTCTACTATTATGCCTCTACCATTTCTATTATTGTCCTTTCCTGTATGCTAAAGTTTATACCCATCTATTTCCTAAGCTTTTTACCTATTTCCATTTAGTTTCTTGTAGAGAAGCTACGTTTGCTTTCTTCGTCTCATTGTATCTCCTAACTCTATATTCTTACCTGTAAGCATTTCTACACTCCATGTGGCTAGGTCAATCCTATTATCTGGGACTACTTTCTTTACCTGCGCTCATCCAGAATGTCGTGGGAACCCTTGCCTAGTTTCCATGACAATGTTTTAATATTTTGGCAAATTTACTTTATAGTTCCTATAACTTGAATAATCAAACTGGTTTTCTTACATTGGGAAGGTTTGAAAGGAGTAAAATTGAGGAGCTTTCTGTCATTTTATTAGAGTCCTGAAGTCAATAGTCCAAGAGTTTAAAAATATAGCTAGATGATAACAAAATTAAGAGTAGAACCTCTTCTTGAAGTGGAACAGCGAGAGCATCGCTTTCAGTTTTGAGAAGTTACTGCCTCCATCTTTTTAGTTAGTTATTATACCATTTTTTTGGAGCCTGAGGAAACTTGTGTATGTAGATTGTCTGTCAAGGAACAAATGGTGTTCCTTCACATGTCCTAGGCAATTAGTGGTTTCATTGTTGCCTTTCAGTTGGTTCCATTTCAACCTCTCCTACCTGACCTTGTCCCCAATTAGAAGCCCTTTTGAATTCCCAGAGCTAGAGTGAGTCTGCTGAGATGGTCGATTATGCAATGATATCTGTTCTTCTCTTCCTTCTGTCGAAAGGCATACATGACATTCTTTGAGGAAGGTTCTTAAAGATTTACATTTTACTTCATTCAAGATGTTGTTTGGACTTGCTCTAAGCTCAAAGTTTCTTCACTTCTTTAAGCTGCTTTGAATAGTCAGACATTATCAGTGCAATAACAAGTAGGGATTTACTTCTTGTTTCATTATATGTGGTGAGTGCAATTGATCCTTTATGGTGGCATGCAATGCTATATTAGGGTTGATTAATCCTTGATGATTTGATAGGCACAACGGACCACCACTTGCATGCAGTTCCATGGACTTGAGAAGCCAAGACATGTAGAATTTAATTTTAAAGGATTGAAAGAGATGAGGCATCACACAAGTATTAAAACCTGTATCCGTATTATATTCCTCAGTAAAGCTGATGATCTTAAATTTGACATGTTTAGTTTCCTTGGACAGTATGCCAATATATGGACTGCAGATGACATTAACCCGATATGACCAGCAACTATACAGTACGATTATATAAACATGTGTTTGTTTGTGGAGGGAGGATGGGAGGCGGAAATAAGTTACATTTAACTTGTGTAATTGTTCTGTAAGAACAATTACTCCATGGAACACCTATTTGTTGTCGTGGATATTTGGATTATATCATACCCGTGAATTTTAGTTGTTAAAGTAATGTCCAAATTTTCCTTTAGATTGGTACCCACATTACTTGATTGCTACTTATTCTTATTTGTATTTATTGTTTCTTGTCACCATTTTAATGCCAAGGATCACACATCTTGCAGATATTTTGCCGTGGTAGTAAGAATGACACAAGGGGCTTCAGGTATGTATAAATCATTCTTCTTAGACTATTTGCAATTTCAGATGGTGTTCGTATGTTGTTCTTTGCAAAGTTAACAGCTTCTACTAGCAATTTCCTTAGTTTTTTTTTTAAAAAATTTAACCCTTCCTTTTTTTTAAAATGTAGTTGGCTCAGTTTCTGATACTTATTATGACACATACCCAATAGCTTGGAGCTAGGATTTAGCAAAAAAGAAGATAGGGAGGATGCAAAACCCAGAGATAAAATAAAAAGCACTAGCTGCTCTAAGGTTTTGAATGAAGTCTATAACAAGATGCTTCATTATGCTTGAGTATATCCCTCATACAAGAAAACCCTAAACAAGACTTAATCCTAGCCATCCATCTATCTAATCATGGCCATTCATTATAAAAGACTTTAAATGAATAGAAAGACATAGAAAACTCTAGAAATTCCCTAGTGTGAATAAAATGACTCAATAAATAAAGACATAAAAGGATAGATTCAATAATTATTTTGACCTTCTACAGTTCCTTTTGTAAACTTTAAGCTTGTCTCTCATATCTAGGTACTCAAGAGCAGTATTCTAGGCTGAATCAATTCCCCCTTCCTCAAAAGAATTCGGCAGCTCGTTGTCAGAAGTATTACCATGATATGGAATGAGATGCTTGACATCAAAAACATTAGAACTGCAAATATGGCTAGGAAGCTTCAATAATCTTCTGCACCACTTCACACGTTCCAATCTCGCACTGGCTCAACTTATGATATTCCCCTGCAAAAAATCTATCCTTAGTCAAGACTGTCCACACAAAATCTCTAACATAAAAAGTCATATGCCGGTGATGCTTGTCAGAAGCTACTTTATATTTGGCATGTGACTTTTCTATCTGTGGCCGAACCTTGTCATGAACAAATTTGATGTGTTCGATCAAGCCTCCGCCTTGCTACTAACTCGGCCCATCTGTGGAACTAGTGCTAAATCAAGAGCACTCATTGGGTTTTGTCCATAATCTCAAAAGGACTGAACTATGGACCGATTCTGGGATCTGTTAAAAGCAAATTGAGTCTGAGATAAGATTACGTACTCAAGAGCAGTATTCTAGGCTGCATCAATTCCCCCTTCCTCAAAAGAATTCGGCAGCTCGTTGTCGGAAGTATTACCATGAAATGGAATGAGATGCTTGACATCAAAAACATTAGAACTGCAAATATGGCTAGGAAGCTTCAATAATCTTTTGCACCACTTCACACGGTCCAATCATGCACTGGCTCAACTTATGCTATTCCCTTGCTAAAAATCTATCCTTAGTCAATACTGTCTACACAAAATCTCTAACATAAAAAGTCATATGCCGGTGATGCTTGTCAGAAGCTACTTTATATTTGGCATGTGACTTTTCTATCTGTGGCCAAACCTTCTCATGAACAAATTTGATGTGTTCGATGAAGCCCCCGCCTAGCTACTAACTCGGCCCATCTGTGGAACTAGTGCTAAATCATGAGCACTCATTGGGTTTTGTCCATAATCTCAAAAAGGACTGAACTATGGACCGATTCTGGACTTTGTTAAAAGCAAATTGAGCCTGAGAAAAGATTTGATTCCAATGTTTAAGATTGTTGTACACTAGACTACAAATCAAATTACCCAAGCTCCGATTCACCATTCCAGTCTCACTATCTGTTTGTGGATGATACACAGTATTAAAATTCAGTGAAGTGCCAAGCTTCTCCTAAAAGCTCCGTAAAAAATGATTAGTAAACTTCCGATCATGGTTAGAAGTAATAGATTTAGTCAATTGAAATCTAACAATCTCCTTAAAGAACAAATGTGCAATATGTGAGGCATCCATGGTCTTTCTACAAGCTAGAAAATGAGCCATCTCAGAAAATCGATTAACCACAATAAAGGCTGAGTCCTATACGTTGCTGTGTTTATGGCAAACTGATGTAGGGAGAAGATTAAGAAACCAGAAAAATAACAATAAAAATAAATAGATGAAAGAATATACCCTCTCTTGGGGTTTGCAAGGGAGTCCACCCCAAATATCTATTCACAAAATCAAAGAAAACTATTTCTTTTCGCGATCCACCATCTCTATACCAAGAAGAGACCTCTTCCCTTTAAATGCACATTTAAAACGAATAAAAATAAAATTAAAAGAACCAATAGAACTCTCTCTCCACCATGTTTTTTCTCCCTAAATCTCCCACCCTCTCATGTAAATCCCCTCTCTTAATCTCACGTGACCCCCTTAAAAATCGTTTTCTATATGAACTAAATCCCGTAAATATGGGAGATTCCTTTTAACTCCCCCATATCATATCTTAAAATAAAATAAACTTTTCAATTCTACCCCTTAAATCTCTACACCTAAATAAAGACAACAATAGCCCTATAGAAAACTAAAAACCCAAATAATATAAAAAAAGCACCAATTTTTATTTGCGTCACAAACCAAAGACAACATTCATGCTCACATCTGTCCAGGGCGACTGCGGAATGGGTAATGGCAGGTATAGGCCAGCATAAGTTCCAGTCCCCTTAGAGACTTGAGTAATATGACATCTGCTCACATATTTATTCATGTCCTGCTTTAATTTTGGCGAATGATAATTAACACTTACCAAAGCTAAAGTGTCCCTCATCATGTAGCTCTTGGATAATTTGTTGCCTTAAAGAACAATCAAGAACATACGATTCCCTTTGAAAAGAAACCCATCATGCACAACGTAATCATGTTTTCCCAAATCAACCTCTTGAACAATTTTCCCAAAGTGTGTGCCTGCGGGGAAAAGGGCTCGGAAAGTGGCAAAGAGGCTCTCCTACTTAGTGCATCAGCCGCCTTATTTTGTCTGCTAGATTTATTCTTTAGGGTAAAGTAAACTCCTGGAGGTATGCACCCACTTGGCATGCTGATGATTCAACTTATGCTGGCCATTAATGTGCTTTACCGCCTCATGATCAGAATAAAGAATAAATTCCAGCTGGATCAAGTAGTTTCTCCAATGGCATAGAGTTTGCACAATAGCATAGAACTCGGCATCATAAGTGGAATACCTCATCTTGATGCCATTCAATTTCTCACTGAAATATGATACAAACTTGTCATCCTGACTTAACACTGCACCAATACCGACCTTAGAAGCATCACAATCTACTTTGAAGGCTTTGTCAAAGTCTAGAAGCACTAAGCCTAGTGCTGCCGATAGCCTCAACTTGATCTCAATGAAGCTTTTTTCTGCTTGTGGTGTCCATTGAAAGACTTTGTTCTTGATACAATTAGTGAGAGCTGGCATAATAATGCTGAAATGATGTATGAAGCGCTGATAGAGTGAGGTTGAATCATAAAAACTATGCACATCATGGGTTGACTTCGGCAACTGCCAATCTACAATTGCTCAGACCTTGGATTCATCAGCTCTAACACCTTCTCCAGAAAGTTGTTAACCCAGGAAAACCACACAGTCAACCATCAAAGCTCACTTCTTCATGTTGGCATATAATTTCTCTGTATGGAAAGTAAAATCTCATGCAAATGCTGCAAGTGCAAGTTAGTAGAACTGCTGTAAATTAAAATATCATCAAACTACTCTAGAACAAGTCTACCAATATTCACTTGAGCACATGATTCATGACTCCCATGAATGTGCTCGGGGCATTAGATATCCCAAAAGGCATGACTATCCACTCGTGCAGCCCTTCTTGGGTCTTGAGGGTTGTCTTCCACTCATCTCTGGGTCTGATCCGAATTTGATGATAACCGCTTTTAAACACTTGAGCACCCGCAAGCTGATCCAACATATCATCAAGCTATGGGAAACCTGTATTTCACTGTAATTTTGTTTATGGCCCTGCTGTATACAAACTAGCTCCAGCTGCTGTCCTTTTTAGGAGTAAGAGGCATTGGGACAGCACAAGGACTCATGGCCTCTCTGATATAACCCCTGGTCCATAACTTTTCTACCTGTTTGCAAAGCTCTACATGGTCTTGTGCGCTCATTCGATAGTGTGGCTTGCTAGGCAAGCTAGCACCTGGCACCAAATCAATGTGGTGCTGCATATCACGCATGGGGCCAATCCTGGGGGTAACTCCTCAGGGAAAACATCACAAAACTCGTCCAAAAGTGGTCGAACCACCTCAGGGACAGAATCACTCAACCACTCTTCCTTCCCCACAAGTGCAAAGACAGCCCCCGATTCCTTCATTTCCTCTGTAAATCTTGCTAAAGAAAGAAAATTGATACACTCGCCATGTTTAGGTTTAGGTCCAATATCCTTAGATGGGGCTAGAATAATTTTCAGTTTATCCTTCCAAAATGTATGAGTATTCTTGCGCCCATCATGTATGTCATGTATATCGTGCTGCCAAGGCCTCCCTAATAAGATACAACATGCATCCATTGTTACAACATGCATCCATTGTCACAATATCATACCATCCATTATCATTTTAGTGTTGGCTAATGAAATAAGAAATTAGGCAACATTTAGAGACTGCTATCTCATTGGCCTTTTTGAACCAGGATAATTTGTATGGATGTAGATGGTCTCTCACACTCAAATGCAACTTTGCAATGGCCTCCTTTGACACAACATTTTCGCAACTGCCACTATCATTCACCATGGCACAAACCCTTCCCCCAATTGTGCATGAGGTGTGAAATATAGTGGTTCGCAGCCAATCTTCTTATGTGTCCTCTTTTGGCGCCAAGAAGCTCCTTGTGGCAACCTCTTCATCACCCTAATCATCAGAAACATGATCAGCAATGGCATATATATCAGTACTTTTCCCTCTCAGCTAGGGTTCTTCCTTCAGTCATTCGACCTGTGGCCTGGTTCTCTGCACTTGAAAATACTTTATTGCCAAACCACCAACCTAATTTCTCAAGTTTTGGCCTTGACCAATAGCACGCCCCATCTGTGGGGCTGCACCACCCCGCTGGACTCCGGATTGTTACTGCCAGACTCCCCCAACCTGCTCCTGTGCATATCCAATATTCAGCCAAGATCTGGCCCCTACTACTGCCATATTTCTAGATCTGAATTGACCTCAATTTTGTTGTTTCTCCACCACCAAGGTATATGCTGATATGCCTCAGAAATGGTCCAGAAAGTGTGGAGATTCAACACATCCTGCAGAGACTGCCTAAGACCTCCAATATATCGCGCCACAAGCTGATCATCGTCCTCAGAAAGCTCATTTTGCGAAACCAGCTGATAAAACTCCTCCGTATAGTATCCACCGACCTACTTGTCGAAGATTATTCAAAGCTAATCCAAAGGTTGCAAGTAATTGAAAGGCAGAAAAGCCTCTCTCATTTTACACCATCTTCTCCCAATATGTGATTTTGCGTTGACCTCTTCATGTCCTGTCACCTTCAACTGGTCCCACCAAACCTTAAGCTCTTTCCCTGAGCTTTAGGGAAACTAAAGTTATTTGTTTTTCTTGGGAACCTTCTTAACTCCAATATCTGCTCCACTGCATTCAGCCAATCAATGAATTCCTTAGCCGTTAAATCTGCATACAACTCTGGGATCTCAACTTTAAGACCGGTTTCCTACCTTACTATCCCTATCCCTATGATCAGCTGCCTCTCTACTTGGAGCTTGGTCATGGAAGGGATTTATGGATTCTTCATCCGATCTCATCCCCCTGAGTTGGAGGCTTCCATTTGCACCAAGCACAAAGCTAGGGTGTCGGCCAATCTCGTCAGATCTACAATCCCTTCTCGCGAATTACGATCAAAGGCTTTTACAGTTACCACGTTTCCTCCTTTTCCTCTGCGTGGACGCATGGTTGTTCATCTAGGGCACAAAAATCGGTTGTACACTACCGTCTTTATAGTGCTATAATGGCGTTCGTGCAGTGCTACAGTACTATAGTATACTGCTATAGTACCATCCATACAGATCATCTGGCTCTGATACCAACTTGGCGCAGACCTAGTAGCTTAGACTAGGGTTCAGCAAAGAAGAAGATAGGGAAGATCCATAATTAGAGAAAGATGCAAAAACCAAAAATAAAGAGGAGCACCATACAACATTTGATTATGGATTATGCATTTACATCAGTTTGTACCTGAATTGGACTTGAGTCATACTTTCATTGAACTACATATCTATATTTGTACTTGTAAATATTGTCAAGAAGTGTATTATGGAACTTGCAGGTTTGTATGTGGAATGCAAATGCATGTGCGTCTTCATGTGTTATCACACATGTATGTACTTTATATGCATTATTGTACAACCACATGGACATTATTTACAGATGGATTAGATTGTTGGTGTTGAACATATAAATATATACTATATACATTCATCATAATCTTTATTTATTCACATATACACATTCTATTTTGCATATATACGTGTGCGACTTGTATTATATGTGAACACTATAAATGATACGTGCCTGATATAATGTATGCTATAAAATATTTTATATCCATTAAGTACAGATAATTGACTGGAGGTGTCGTTTCAGACAATTAAAGAAGTTTGACATATATTTTTAAAATTGGATCTCAATTGGTAATTGCTTGTATAAAAAGCATGCTAGGGTTATTATAATTTTAAAAAAATAAAATCCAAAGGAGCATAGTTGTAGGATATGCTTATTAGAAAATACGATCAAAATTTTATGGATTAGATTGCTTTCTTGAACCAAAGGTGCCATTTGGTTATCACAGCTGCGGGCTGTGGGTTTTATTCCACTCAATCTCAGTGAGAGTTGGAGATGGAGAGAGTCACTCAGCATTCACGGCCATATGTGATTTCATCCACAATTTCTTCATCTGTCAAGAATGTCGGCAGCACTTTCACAAAATGTGCTCCAGGTAAACGACAAACAATGTTCTTTGGGACCTCTGCCCCCCCCCTCCCTCTCTCTCTCTCTCTCTCTCTCTCTTTCTTCTGATTTACCAAACATTCATCCTTCAATTATTTAACCCACAGTGTTCCCACTCACTTCAACTCGACCCGAGACTTTGCACTATGGCTTTGGCGCACACATAACCAGGTCAATGAGAGGCTGATGAAAGAGGAGGCAGATGCAGGGACTGCTGACCCCAACTTCCCCAAAAGGATATGGCCCTCCAAGCTCCTCTGCCCATCTTGTTACACTTCTTCAACACACAAAGATAGTTGGAACGAGGCGGAGGTCTTCATTTTCTTAGTCAATTACTATGGCAAAATGCTCAAATCTTCTTCTGATAGTGAGAGCTTAAGCAATGGCAGGCCAAATGAGGCTGATGACTTGGCTGCTTCAACGAGTGCCGTGGCAGTTCCAGTGGGTGCGGCGTTGGCCATAGCAGTGGCGAGCTGTGCTTTTGGAGCATTGGCATGTTTTTGGCGGACCCAACAGAAGAATCGGAAGTATTTACACCACCATCACCACTCTTTAAAGAACATATGATGAGTAGTAGGAGGGTAATCTTTTTGTTTTGTTTGGAAGCAAGGCATTTTGCACACGTAGTCTCTCTCTCTCTCTCCACCCCCCCCCCAACCCCCCAAAAAAAAAAACCCAAAATAAATAAATAAAAACCAACCCCAATTCCCTTCAGAATCTCTATATTCCAAGCTCTCGCTTTTTATATGAGCCCTTCAAAGATATAAACAAAATGTAGAATTTTTTGTGGATGGGAACATGCTTTCCAGGCTGTTAATCATGTGTTTTGGATATCTCTCTTCTTTTGCAGGCAGAGGCGGAGTTGGAACTGAGTATATAGGTTTGTGGATGGATAAAGATATATACTCAGATTCAGGTGTGTACCTGCCCGCTTAAATTTTGGATCAATTATCCGTGCACTTAGCTAGAGTTTAGTGCTGACAATAGCTTGGCAGAGATTCTGATCCCGCCCTCTCTCGTCTGCTAATAAGCAGTCCAATGTCCCAATTGTTTTTCATAAATAACATTATTTTGATTTTTACAAATACAGAACAGTGTTTCTCTTTCACATATATGATGTATATTAGCAGCTTCTTATTTATTGAATTTGGAAGTTCAATTGGAACTTTGTACAATATGAGCTGAGTATTGTCTTGCATTATTATTGTCACTGTGAATCTTTTCTTGGGCATCAACATGCTCTTTGCCTGTCAATATATGGTATGATAATGGAGTAAACCTTGTTTCAACCAGTTTCAAGATATCCCTTTAGCCTAATGTTATATGCTACACACCATGTGAGAAGAACGATGGTTAATCTCCACCTTTAGATGTCCCCATGTTAGGTACTATTGTCCACTGGTGTTGCATGGTGCTTGCTCCTATTCGTGGGGATTTTACAGTAAAACGTTTTCAGAATTGTTAGAAATAGTGATTGATGCATGTTAAAATCCAAGTTGCATAGAACCTCTTTACTCAGACACGAAATGGGGTGTTGGTTTTCGACACGTTTCAGGGTGTGTCATGTGTGGCACACTAAAAATTAAGAAATGGAAAAGAATGTTAGTTTTTATGTAGAATAAAAAAAAGAAAAAATATCTAAAATATGGACCACAAAAGTTGTGCAAATAGATGTTACAAAACTGTAAATATATAAAAAGATTGTCATAAGGGTGAAAAATTATGAAAAATAAATTGTAAATATATAAATATATAAAGGAAAATGTATACTATAAGAACATTTATTTTTTATATAAGGAGGTCATAATTGTTAATAGCCATTAGATGTCAAATTGGATGGTTTGGGGTGGGCTATAAAGTTTGAGATTTTTTTATTTTTTATTTTTAAGTTTGAGTTTAGTCAATGACATTCACAACCACTTGATTTGAAATCTAACGGACAAACGTAATTTGTGAGGTCGTATTACAAGAGAAGTGGTCTCTTTATATGTTTATTATATAAAGAATGTACAATAGAACTTATCAATAGTTTTATAAAGAAGTTATTTCAGTTTGAAAATTGCTCCAAAACAATCTCCCCTACCTTGGTTTAACTCTCATACTTCGACGGACGATTTTGTCTTTTCTTAAACCGTCTGCGAGCTGAATCAAAAGGTGACTAAAAATTTTCAACAAAAGAATTCCCTAAACATAGAATTTTGTACACATCGGCATTAGGGTAGTGAGTGACTCAGCTAGTAGCTCCCATGAAATGAAGTGAAAATGTGAAATTAGACAAACGCGCGCTTTTTGGCTCTTGATCAGAATGTGGAATTGAAAAAGGAAAATGGTTTGATACGGCTGCAGCCCAGTAAGTAAAATCTCACTTGATAACTCATCAATAATTACAATTCAAGCATTGAAAACCTTTATATCGATCATCTCAACTCAAACATTATGATTATAAAAAAAACTTAGGATTTAAAGCTCTAAAAATGGTGTTTATCGTAACAAATTATCTAATCTATCCATTTCCCCCTAAAAATAAATATTCACATATCTATAAGGCTTGTACTATTTTTTTATGTTCATATTTTATTGTTGGTGTTAGAAATTGATTTTAGAGCCGTCATGTAGATTTTTGTTATTGAACGTGCTTTCTGAACGAGGATTGGAGGTGAGGTTTTATTTTGTTTTTATAAAGCCTAAGCCTTATAGAAACATTATCCATTAAAACAAATATGATCTAGATTGAGAATTGCCTGATTCGGATCGATAGGCACCGACTTTGTTCTGTCTGAATCGGGCAGCTCAATAAATAATATATGAGGTGAGGTTTTTATAAAGGGCCGATCTTATGCTATACAAGTAAGGCATACCGATAATTTTGCTTGAATTTATAATTCGGGTGTCGAAAACGTTATGACGGCTTGAAAATCTATTTTTGATCTTAAATATGAAATTTAAAAATCTAAAAACAATGGAGATTGAGCAAATCTATAAACACTTTCTAAAAATAGACGGTCCAGATTACTTGTTACAAGATGCATTATTTTTTAGATTTGAAATTCTTTTTACTTTTTATATCTATATAACTCAAGATCGAGAAGATCAATTGAAATATTTTCCAACTTTGGAACACTCTTTTCTTCTGCATTTTTTATATCTACCTTACTTTTATAGTATAAAATTCTTGCAACCTAGGAAGGGGCTAAGGTCGTGGTGGTAGCACCCCACACCATAGTCATCACGTTGTGGTTTCCATTCTCATCAATGACACCACCCTACTAACAACTTCAAAAAAGCTAGTAATCCACTTGAAAAAATGGCAACTTCAAAAAAGCTAGTAATCTACTTGAAAAAGTGGGTAGGGTCTCTCTTCCCCACTGAATTACCAAAAAAAAAAAAAAAATTGTCTAACCTTATATAAATATTTATCTAATATATATTAAACAAATTTTATATAATATACTTCATAATGGCGTGTTGGGTAGTGGTACGCATTAGAGGTTCGTGAGGTTTGAACCCCAAATGCTCAAGAGGTCACAAAATGGATTTTTATTTTTCCTGCTTCATGGGGTATAACGAAGAAAAAAGTGAAGTGGAGAGTAGATCTGCCATCCAGGCGCTATTGGGCACAATGGCTAGCCAACTAGGCTATGCAGAGTTTTTTTTATTTTTGTCTTTTTTTGTCTTATGACTTGTTCGAATTGTCAATCCGATTGGGATTAGTTAGTAGATTTGTCCCGCAAACCCCTTTTTTAAAACATTACTCAGGCTTGACTCTTAAATGACAGTTCATATTTGGCTATGGTTGTATAAGGCTGATACCCTAAACAATCAAAGCAAGGTGCACTTTAAATAGTATCGAAGATATTGTTTGAGTATTGAAAATCTTTGTGATGGCCTAAGAATTTGTTTTTCTATCTACCATAAAATTTAAAGCTTAAAAATATTGTAGATTGAGCAGATCTATGAATACTTAAAAATATTAAAAATTGATAGTCTAGAAAATACATTACAAGATGTACTATTTCCAAGACTTATAATTTTTCTCCTGTCCATACGTCTTGAGGTTGAGATGATCAAACTTGAGAAGTTTTAAGTATCGAAACAACATTTTTTGATGAATTTTTGAGGTGCACCTTGATTTGATTGTTTAAAGTCTGACCCTTATATAAACGTTTTCCTTATATTTTATCATGGGCGCAGGTGTAACGATTTTATATTTAGGCAACCAATACAATTGAAAGAATGTTGCTCGAAGCTTCTTAGGTTTAGCCGGGGGAGAGTAGTTCGGTTCTTTGGGTGATTTAGAGAGTTCCTCTCTCCATAATCTATTTAAGAGATGGATTTTTTAATTCAAAATTTAAAGAATGAAACATCTATTAGAAACTCAGAATGCTGCAAAGAACTCGATCTTTATTGATTAATAAAGATTATACAAAACGCCGTATGAATATACGACTAATAACAATTCTGGATAGACACCAACAGTTATTGATAATTACTAACTAACCTTATCATTATCCTAGACACCTAATCTTATCAAGAGATATATACCCATACAATCAAGAGATATATATACGCTAACACTCCCCCTCAAACTCAAGATGCTTTGACACAAAGCAGTTGGAGTTTGAACAATAAGTTGCGTAAACAAATAGATTGGATCTTTAAGGCGTCACGTGCATGGCGTAAACTTCAGATCTTCATCGAAGACAGAAAAACAGTCGAGATAGGTAAGAAAATGTAATGGCATTTGGAAGAGCCAACAAAACTCGGTGTGAATCCGAGACAGATTCAACAACTAGCAGGCCGAGACAAATTCAGCAACTCGCAGTCCAGAACACAGGCCAGAATAGAGATAAATACTGTTTTGCAGATAGTCGAAACACGACTCGGCAGAGAGTCGAAACAAATATGAACTCGTCGAGCTCAGATCTGGCAACCTCAAATCTGAGGTGCGAGCTTAGATCTGAGATTGAGGAGCCTATGACTCTGATACCATATTAGAAACTCATAATACTGTAGAAAACTCTCTTTTTATTGATTAATAAAGAATATACAAGATCATGATAAATATATGGCTAGTAACAGTTCTGAATAGACACCAACAGTTATTGATAATTACTAACTAATTTTATCATAATCCTAGACACATAAGCTTATCAAAAGATATATACCCATACAATTAAGATATATATATATACGCTAACAACTTCAACCATAGTAACTAAGAACCCAAAAAAGAAAATAAATAAATTTTTTATTTTTATTTTTTAAAAATATTGATATGGTTTCAAACCTGTCGATTTTTATTTTTTTGAGAGACTACCATATTCTAACATCCATCTTTAAGATAGATATTACATGCTTCAGGGGATGCTATCGTCTCCTGATGCACAAACTACTTTTCCTTGGTGGAATCCTAGGGGTATTTATTTGTTCATAAGTTGAAATTTATGAGTACAGGCCTCCAAAGCATAAAAATTCGTGGCACATTATGATGTCAAACTATAGTATGATCCGCGTGAATATAGAAGTGAATATAGAACAGAGAAAATTTATATAACGTTGGAACCTTATACTATAGAAGTATGGTGCACCTCAAAACAATTAGTAGAAAAAGGTGTTTAGAAATTGGAAAACCTTTCAATTGATCATCTCTATCTCGAGATGTATAGTTATGAAGAAAAAAAAAAACTTTATGCCTTAAAAGTAGTGCATTTTCTAACAAATTATTTAGACCAACTACTTTCAAGTTTTTTAAGTGTTTATAGATCTGGTCGATTTACACCATTTTAGAATTTGAATTTAATTATTAGGTTTGAACATAGATTTTCTAGCCATCATAAGTATCTGACAACAGACCTACATCTTTCGACAAAATTTAAATTCGCATCTTGCTTGCATAGTATAAGGTGGGCATCGTATACAAACCTCACCCATATAAAAAATTTATGTTTTATGTCATCACCATCCCCTCAATAGATGAATAATGACGGAGAATGGGACCATGAGAGATTGGCATGATCGCGATATACACCCATCAGTATATTGATTCGATGGTGATAGACACTATCACATAAATATAGATTTTCCATAGTCATATGGATCATGATGTACTTTCCCTATTCTCTCCTAGTGTGTGTTTTGCATGTTATCGGGTGACATGAGTCTTTGTAGGAGGCAAGTTGAGAAAAGAGTTGGGGTCGTGGTAGTAGTACCTCTACATCTTAGTCACCACGTTGTGGTTTCTATTCACATCACCCCACTAGCATCTTAAAAAAACTAACTCTT